TGGGCTTGCTGAGGTCTGGCTCAACATGTGCATGGAAGTCTTCGCCACGATTTCGCAGGCCCAAGGCCGCAAACCCTAAGCCGCTCGAAAACCCGTAGCCTTCGGCACGCTACTCGTTCCAGCAACGTCCCAACCGCGTGATGGCAGACTTGGGACTACAGAGCTTTTGGATTTGTTTGGGTTCTGCGCCGCACCTGAAACCGTAAACCCAAGTCCACGGACTTCAGCTACGTTCACCTCAGTCTCATACAGCCTGCAAGTCTGCAAGTCTGGCTTGCAGGGAGGCCAGGGCTCTGGGCCCTTATTAAACCCTGCTGAAGCCGCTTAAGCCCCTAAGACACAAAACACCTAAACGCCACAATGGGCGTTTAGGTGCAAGAAAGACTCGAACATAAGTCTCCCCTACAAGTCCGAAGAGCCGCCCCCCCCAAAACCCTGATCACACCACGAGCGTGCTAAACTCTCGGCCCTCGGGCAATGAGCAGCCGCGGAGGACTGGAGCTGACGCCCCTGAAACGTGACGTGGGGCTTTCATAGCTCTCGGGCTTTAAGTGGGTGTTTGGGCTTCAAAGGACTTTGGGTAACCACAACCCCAAGTCGATGCTTACTACCTAGCCCGGTAGCCCAAAGCTAGGCCTTCAGCCATTTGGGCGTTGTGGGGCTTGTAAACGTGTTGCCCCAAGGGCATTGCAGGGTCTAGACGCGTAGTCGACTTCGGCATCGGAGTTTAATAGCTTGGGTTCTCTTGCTTGATGTGAATTTCACAGCATGTGGCTTGTCTACCGCTGCGCGGCTGTGGCGAGTGACTTTGCGCCTGGTTCCATCATCAAAACAGCTTTGAGGTGTTGCTCTTGCAACTGGCTCCATCTGTAAGATGCAGGATAAATAGGCCCTGGTGTGCCTGATAATGATTTAACTCCTTTTCACAGGAAAAATTTCCGAGTTGAACAGATATGCGAAAATCGCACAGGCTCCGAGGCTCCGAGGCCCGCTTGGTGCCCGGCAGACCCCGTGCCGGCTGCTGAAGTATCGGCGAGCTTTGCCTGCTTTGGGTCAGGTTGAGGTTGTACCGGCAGGAGCTGACCTAGCTGAACACATGAAATCCAACTTGGTCGTAGCCAAAAACGCCGTCCCCGACTCACTGAGAAGTGCTACTCAAGAAGTTCTTGAGTCAGAATCCTGAACCTCCGCTCGCTATGCCGAGCTCAAACTGGTCGTATCCGAGTCGGAGTAGTCGGATTTAGCCATAAAAGTCAGACTTAATTAAGCCCCTTACCTTTAATTGGCTGAGAAAGCTGGCATTGGAGCAGACAGCAACATGAAACTCCACAATGCCACGACATGCAACCCAATGCAGCACCGCACAACCTCGCATACATCACTACGTGCTGAAGGTTCCACGAGCCTCGACCGATCAAACCTTGGCGTGACTGGTCGCGGTCGGATGCCCCTGACGTCCCCCAAGTCCTAACCCCCTTGAGTGCGCACAAATGAGGGTTCCGGTTTCGCGAGAGGAACTTGCGAGGGGATTCTCACCTCCCCCACCCAAAGCTCGCCAAGATTAGGACTTAGTGCTCTGGCAGCAAAACTGCTCAGGATTTAGCGATTTGCACAGTCGTGCTCTCGTAGTCAACGCGGAGTCGTCCGGGAGCTTACTTCCGACGCCATAGCCGGTGGGATCAAAGTTAAAGGCAAAAATTTGTCCAGGGGAATCCTGGAACCCTGAATATCAATCTATCTTCGTTTGAAACTATCAGGCCTGTGTCCCTGAGAATGGGGCTCGGAGACTTCGAGGGTGTACAGAAAATGAGGGTTTTCATGGGGAATGTCATATGCTTAAGGGCCTTAAGGGCTTAAAACGGCGTCCACCTGCCTGCCGTCTAGAAGCCATTCCCGTGCCCCTCAGGTAGATCCGTCTACAGGTAGACTGTCTTTTAAGCCTTGAGCTCCTGGGACCCCCGGCGCCATCCAAGGCGGGCTGCGCCGTGTCGGGCGCCGATCTGGTACCTGACCCGGGTTGGGGCTTGAGGGTTCACGGCTAGAGTTTAGAGATGGCGTTGAGGGTTTCTGGTTTCACAAGCCAGCAGGTTCGAGGTTCTGGAGTAGTGATTTAGGGTTTCGGACGCCCAAGCCCAAAGCCCTAAAACAGCCTGTGCACTGGGCTGCTTCATTGGGGTCCACTTGCAGGCACATTTCAGCGTCGCACTTCTTGTGAAAAAAGGAAACCGAAAAGACCCCAGTTTAGGACAACACCCCCCCCCCCCCCCCCCCTAAAAAAGGGCTTGAAACCCTGAGCCTCAAATTGCAGGTTTGGGGGGTAAAGGGTTTCAGGTTCAGGAATTCTGGGTAAGGGGGGGTTAACCTACTCGACCCTGGTGTCGAAATTAACATGTGCATGCCCTACATTGCACCTACATTGCACCTGCACAATACACACATGCATGTGGGGATACACATGCAGGTCGTCGTATGCGGAGTTGGTTAGGGCGGTACTCGGACCAGACTCATGCATGTACGTATATGCGCGAATCAGGAGACACTCGGGGCCCAGCAGGGCTGGGCCGGTCTTGGTTTTAAGGTTCCTGGGGTTCTAGGGATTTAAGGGGTTTGAAGCACACCCAGTTCACTTCCCTCAGGGCCCTGAACACTCGCAGTCATTGCAACAACAACACTCCCCCCGGCCGAACCTTGAATGTGTTCGGCTGCGGCTGCTGCACATCACCTTCACAGAAGCTCTGCTGGAGTTAGAGGAGCATGGCCAAGAGGGTGATTCAGGAGGGGGATGGACGCCGGCCCCGCTAAATTGTTAGAACCGTACACCCTGGCTGAACCTTTAAAAGGCTCTGATGGTTTACCTGAGGCTTTTCTTACAGAGGGCTGTGAAATTAGGAGGTTTAGGGCTTCGAGGCTTTGGGGTTTAGATAAAGCCTGTAAACTCTCAACTCCCCAACCAGCTGAGGCCCAAGCGAAACTGGGGAGACACAATGCATAGTATGATGCTCTTGTACATTCTCCCTGGTTGGCATCCCTCCATCCCCGCGTAAACACACTAAACCCTTACCCCCAGCCGCGCTCCTCCTTCCCTCGCCCACTTGTGCGGAACCTTTAGAAGGTGCGGGCGACACGGGGTCACGGGTTAGCCGCACATTTAAGCCTATCCACCGACCATGAACCCCTAAACCCTACTCTTATGGGGAAGTTGTATGGTCCCTGAACACGGGCCCTTAATCGGGGAACCCTTATCTACCCTGTAGAACCCAAGGGCCCATACTTCAGAACCGGGGACCCGGCCCAGTGAGAGGCCACCAGAGGGCAGCTTGGGGGCTGATGCGCCCGCAAGACCTGGGGCGGGACACGCTCTACCACGCTCTACCTTGCTCTATCGCGGTATACACACATCTAGGTTACGGTGTCGAGTGCCCTCCCCAAAGCCTGCATCCCCAAGTGCCCACAAACTATGCAAAAGAAGCCTAAGAACTGCAGGCCATGAGTGTCACAGAGGCCTAGTCATCTGTGACGTCATTCACATGGGAGGATGTTCTTGTTGATTCCCTTTTGGGTTTCCTTGCTACGCGGAATCCGGCTGTCACGAAAGGACCAAGTTTAACAACGCCCCTAGTAAACAATGGGCTTAGGAAGTCGGTCAGCAAGCTGAGCGCTGCGGATCTGACAGGCGCAAGCTTTAGGTCCGAAGCAAGCCTCTGACTCAAGTCGGAAACCTGATCGAAACAACATAAGATCGAGTAAGCCTGGCAGCCTGAATACTAGAAACGGTAACAATGCAGACGCCCAATATTTAGAGTGATGTTTCAAGGGACAAGAAGGTTACTCCTGGTGACTCTGGCTTTGGAGTTTAGCGTCCTACCCCCGGCAAGGAAACTCACCCGGGCTTGCTGCGAGAGCGTTGCTTGACCCAGGACCGCAGACCTGAGAAATAATTTTGCACCCAAACCACAGGCTCTTCTTCCCTTCGGACGCCTTTACTCCCTCATGGCCCCACCCCACCCCACCCCCGCCTCCCCAATGCAATACGGCACCCTGAAGCATCTTAACCTCTTGTTCTCAAAGCGCAGCCGCTGTAAGCCAGACTAGTTCAGCGTACTCGTTGGGAATGGAGGAGGGGGGCTGCTCTATGTCAAAAGTTTGGGATCTTAAGTGCTTGTGGACGTTGAAGGGCTGAGGCCCCACCCCGACCTTCCATGTGCTTCTATGTACCCAGCACTCACGAGCATAACCCATGCAAGATGTGTACTCGGGTTTCGGAACCCTACAGTTGTCGGGTTTAGGGATTAAGGCATCGGGATTCGTAATTGGAAAGGAAGAGGCAGGGAAGAGGGGTATTCGGGAGTTGCAGCGTCTTTCCACAATTCTGCAATACAAGCCCTTCGTTCCAAACCCTCCATCTTGCCTCGAAGCTCGCATCCTCTGGGGGACCGGACTGGCGGTGGCGCGGACAGGTCGAAACGCCGGCTCCTTAGCCACGTGGAACCATTCCCAGTCCAGCTTAGGAATGCTTACGGTCATTATTTAAAGGCTGCTTGATGCGGTTCTTTGCTTCGCGGCCTTGCCCAAGAAGGACACGCGTGTGGGTGACACAGCAACGACGGCCAGGGCCAGCCTGGCCACTGTTCATGAAAAACGCTTGAGAAGGGAAAGGTGCCTACTGGCCGAGTAAATTTTCGTTCAAGGGCGGAGCGTCGCCTCGACGCGGCCTCGGACCTAACATTCTCGATGCCAAGACGACCGAGAGCTAGGAATGTGAGTCCGCGCAGGTCAAGTGGAAGCGGTAGTAGCGCTCAACGACGCGTACAGCCAGTTGGTGTTTCACTTCCTTCTTCCACGGACATTCTGAGCCTGAACTGATCTGAGGGCATTCAAAGGAGCGAGGCAATCAATGCACTGCCCATGTCGCTACCCTTGTGGGCTTGACAACTGAGCTGAAGACGCTGGCAGCTCGCAGTAATGCAAAGCTACCCGGATCTGTGCAGAGGTGGCCCACGTCAACTATCGGTCATTCGGTCCGAGCTTGCCTTACGGACGCTCAGCCCCAGGACCTCATCGGCATGGTGTGCATCCGACATGCGACCCAGCTGCTCCTTGGCACTTGAAGCCCGCATGCTGCAGAGCGGCTCGCTCGGTGGTGGGATGTTGATGTTGATCACTGCAGAATCCACCTGCGAGGCGATGTCGTCATGAAGCTCTTTCAGCGCCTTCTCGAACTCTTGCTCCTTTGGCCCAGTTAATTTGCAGAGACGGTTCAGCGCTTGTTCCCGTATTGCCTGCGGCAGCGCGTCCTGAAGTGTTTCGGGCTGCAGCCTCTGGAGATACTCGACACTGAAGACGACCTTCTCTAAAGGTTTTGGAGGGTCTGCGGCACCTGGGGTCCACTCGGAGTAGAGCTCTTTGGCGACTTTCGGATGGTCGGCCTTCGGGTGAAATCCAAACTTCCAGTGCTCTGGACCATTCATGTGCCGCATGTAGAGATAGGCCCAGACGTCGAGCACGTACTCCTTCCCCGGGTTGCTGCCAAGCGCAAAGGTGACATAGCAGTGATTGTCGTCATGGACGCCGTCTACTATGGGATGTTCGCAGAGAGTGATGGGCATTACGTCCGGCTCCAGAAAGAGGTAGCAGGCAGCCAGGTTAGCGCATTCACCGCAGTTTCCGATCTGAGCGGCTCTGGTGATCCTGGCTTTCAGGGCCACATACACCTGTGGGTCCTTGATATCCCGGATGTAAGCATGGAGAGATGCGTCGTGCTTTCTGGAGAGCCTCAAAAGGTGCTCCGCGAAGTCTGCGTGCTTAATGTGCCCCGAGAATTTGCCTGTGTCTGCCCCTGGATTGCCGATTCCCCATCGCAGATCAGCAAGTACTGAAGCACACACCTTCGCCGCAATAGCAAAAGCATGCCCGTCTTCACCGACCAAGCGGTCAAGAATTGACATCGCCCCACGCAACCACCAACGTCACTAACGCTCTGGCAGGCCACCGCAACAGGATCGCCAATCAGAGGGGGTTTTTTAGTGACTCTACCTGGCTTGAGGCTCCAAAAGCACACCCAGGGAGCCGGCAAATGCACAGGAAAACCGTCGTAAAACCCATTGAGCCCTGTAACCCCTGTAGGTCCTCAACCTGGGCTGTGATTCGAAGCCAGTCCTTGCTGCCGTCCGCTGCATCCCCTGCCACACCTCGAAAAGATCCTCAAAAGCTTTTTCGATTAGAAACCATACTGACTCATAGCTACCTGTTAAACCGAGTTCTACTTAAGATACCTATCAGACGACCCCCCAAATGAGATACGACTGAGGATGACACACACACACACACACACACGTGTACACGTACACGTACACGTACACATACATACAGCTACATACATGTGTATATATATATATATGCATACATACGTGTCCACACACACATATACATATAAAACTTTTTTCTTTGCAATGTGTAGAGATTTGTATGGTCAACAAGAGCCACCGTGAGGGCCCGAACTCCGAGTCCCTGGCCGATGCCCCATGCAACCTGGGGAGAGGGCGTTCGAGCAGATCAGCCCAGAAACTCATCGATGAGCCGGCTAAGAACCCTCCTCTCCTCAGAGGCTGCGGCGCGTTGCGCACTTCCTGCGCGCCAGCTTGGGTGCTTGGCTTGACAGCACTCGTGTGGGGTTGGAGATTGAGCTGGTTTAGGGCCTAAAAGAGTTTGGCTTCAGCCTTGTGTTCTAGTTTAGGGTTTACGGGGGGGAACTTGGGTTGTGTGAAACAGCAGCTGCTTGCCTTCGTTTACAAGTCTTCTCAGCCTGTCGGACACTCAACTTCCGCTCATGGCACGATGCTGGATTGAGGTACCAAAAAAACAATTTAGTATGGCTTCTTGGGTGAATAGTTCCAAAAATGTACCATAATTAGTCGCACCCTTTGGGTACTATAAGAATGCAAAGACGCCTGCATCCGCTTGAGGACCGGATTGCTGTGGCTGCTGGCCTGGAGAACTTCGATCCAGGGACTACCGCACTAGAGCTTGTGGGTCTTCCGTTTCCGGTGTCCTAGACCTTTAAGAGACCATTCACCGGTACCCACCTGAAGCACTAAACTCTCCCAGCTCCTGGTTCCCTGAGGGTGGGGGGATCAAGGGTTCATGGTCTCGTGGTCCTCCTAAACTCGAGGGGTGCTCAACACGTGGGAGGGTTCTAGTCCCCTCGTGTGCGCAGCTGGGGTCTGCAGAGCACGACTCAAGGGAGTTATGATGAGATATGCCTAGAGGTCAATTTGACGTCAATTTGTGCACGTAGCTGCGCCACTGCGCATGTAGGTACTGGTGTGGGTGCGGATTGGCACAAAGCCAGCGTCAGTGTTGGCAAATGAGTGTGTTTCAAGAACACTGAGCCTAAGTGGCTCTCATGGCGACCCGAACACAGAAAGCTTGAGGCTCGAGGGTGCTGCTGGGGCAAAGTCTTAGCGACCGGCCGGCAGTCCAACATCAAACCCTCTCAAGACCCAAACCGTTCCTGGTTTGGGGGCTTCAGGAAAGGCACGAACCTCCAATCACTAAACGAAGCCGCCGAACCCTGACGACTACCCCGGGTGTCTGGCTGCTTCCGCCCCTTTGATCCAGTCCTGTTGGGGCACACCAAGATAACTTTAAGGGCATGCCCTTTAAGGATTGAGAAGCCACCCCCCGCGCGTTGCCCAGTATGTACTAAACAGTGGGCGGTATGCGTTTATTGAGTCGACGTAGTGTCTAGCGATATAAAAAATAGATAGATAGCTGTGCGTATAATATGTATATATATATATATACATGCAGACTTATTGAGTACACAGCGAAGAGGCACGCACATTGCAGAACAGAAGTCCTCCTGGGCTTCTTGTGTTTTCATTTGGGTTGGTTCAACTTCAGACAGCCGGCCAGGGATTTTTGTGTCGATGCTACACGATACGTCCATCTAGCGTGTTTTGTCTCAACTTTTCTCGGTCAAGATCACCCAGACTGTGTCACGACATCCTGCTTTAGTCGCCTGTTGCCTACAGGTTGGGACTCAGGTCCCAGGTTTAAGGTTGAAGGAGTTGCGGAAACACGCCGCAACCCGATAACAGTAGCATTTTCAACTCCAAGCCGCCCAAACCCTCCTGTAACCCACCCCCCGCTCCCCCCCCCACTACTCCTTGAAGATGGTGCATTAGTGAGGGTTAATGGCTTTTGGAATGGCGCCTTCCACCGCCCCTGTGGTGCATCGGCCGCAGGTTGCGCTGTCTCGGGGTGCGAGAACACCTTGGCTGGAAAATCTATATCTTAGCAGGAAAACGTCCATTTTCTCCGTATTTTCCTAGGAAAACCTCTATTTTCTCTATGTGGTAATTGAAAAACCTTCATTCTCCCTCGGTTCAATTTGAATAGGAAAACCTTCGTTTTTTCTTTATTGTCATAAGAAAACCTATATTCTCCATGTTTACATGGGACAACCTCGATTTCTCTTCACTTTAACAGGAAAACCTCTGGTTTAGCACGGCACCCCCTGCTTTTTCTTTTTCCTTGCGCGTTCTCTACGTTTGATTCGGAAAATCTCTACTCCCTCTACGTGTCTAGACAGACAGAAGGCAAAAATGACAAAAACAAAACATAACGCTGGCATGACGGGTTTGGAAAGGGTTCAATGTTTTAAATGCAAGTTCTCTTCATGGGCGGTACGATTGTTTTTTATTGTGGAGGCTTTTTTGCTGTGGAGGCCCGGCGCGATCATTTTTGCTGTGGAGGCTGGGCGCTTGTTTTTGTAAAATAACGCTTGCGCTTCTTTGCTGTGGAGGACTGGAGGTTCTGTTGCAGTGGAGGCTTGGCGCGTTCCTGTTGTTGCTGTCGAGGCCGGGTGCGCGTTTTGCTGTGGAGGCTGGGTACGTATTTTTGCTGTGGAGGCTTTGAAGCAAGCTTGCGAGAAGTAAAACGCGAAGTCTAAAGCCAAACACCCCAACAACAGCCTAAACCCTAAGATGCGAAGCCTAAACCCAAACACCCCAGCAACAGCCTAAACCCTAAACCTACAAGGCAGCAACCCAGTCAGCTCTAGAACCGCCCGGCCTGAAACAGCATGGGAGGCGGAGGCAAGTCCGTGTCCAGGTCCAGCTCTGAAGGCAACTCCTTCGGTGCATGGCCGAACCCCGGAAGAAAATCCCAAGGTATGGTTATATGGGTGAGGTTTTAGAGGGTTGGGGGGTTGAGAGCTGAGGGATATTGGGGGTCGAAGGGGGTTTGGGATGGTTTATGTGCAGGTGTTAAAGGTCTTTCTGGACCTTCCCGTAGCGCCCTGGATAGTTCGAGAGAGAGAGAGAGAGAGAGAGATAGAGAGAGGGGGATGGGATTTGGAGTATGATGAAAAATATACGCTTACTACGACACTTACAAATAAACTATGAAGAGAGCCTCTAACCACGGGGAAGGGGAGGGGGAGGGCCCCCCGCCTAGAGGCATGGGGGACCGCATCCTATGTACCCAGACCTGGCGGTCAGCTCTATAAACTCGAGACCCTTTTTGGGGGTCCCTGTTGGAATGCGGCAACTACACGTTACGCCAAAATGGATCCGAAGTGAGAAACACGAACACATAACCCTGCACTCTACAGCTTAAGATGGTTCCCCTTGGCAGTAGCAACTGCCACAATCAGTGAATTGTGAATCTAGCACCCCCTCTGTCTGTTCCCACAACCCTTACCACTTTCCAAAACTGCTGCTAAAAATAGGGGCCCGCATCCGGACCCTGGAAAACCAATGTTCCATGGCCCCTCCTCCAGCTGGCTATCTCGTCCTTCCGAGGATTGTTCGAAAATCCGCACCTGACCGGCAACAAAAACAGCATGGCCTAGGGCCGAGGGCTTAAGTGCTCTGACCCTGAAGACCTTTTCAGATAGAGTTTCGGTTTTACTCCGACTTTTCAGGGCCATCCCAACAAACACCGCAACGGCTGGCTCGACCCTCACGTGATCACGGAGCGTAAGCCAGCAGCATTGGAACACAGTCTTATGCTCCATCCCCCCCGACGCTGGTTGCCCAGAAGCCCACTCCGGCCGAAAGCCTTAAAGGCCACCCCGACGTATGGCTTGGGTATTCTTGGGTTCGGTCCCGACTTGCAAGCGCTGGGATTTCAGAACAGGATCCATCTTGCATCTATGTGGAGCTATTGGAGCTTCGTGATACTTCCGGGCCACGTCGCAGCGTCACAAGAGGAGCTGTGACTCTTCTGTTCTAATCCAGGGATACAGGATTACGTGTGACTTCTCGAATGATGCAAACAGACACCTGGCTAAACCTCACAGGATCAACAGGAATTATATGGCTGACCCTCCGTCAATGCTTGCTGTCTACTGCTGAGCCGGTTCTTGCAGAAGTAGTGGCTGAGGCCAAGCTGTGAAAACCAAAAACTAGTCCCTCAAGTCCAAAACCACCCCCCCACACCGCGTCAAGTATATTCTGCGCTTCGCGAGGAGCATGCGCACGGGACTGCCTGTCCCCCTAGACACACACACACACACACACACACACACACGAAGGCAGCCATCCCTTAGCAAGAAAGTACGTGCTTGTCACGTATTCACGTTCAAAACCCCGAGCCCTGACACCTGAACTGTCACGAGCCGTTCGCTCTCCCACCTTCCGGGGCGTGGGACCCCCAGAGCGCTCGCTCGTGAGCTCTTCGCCAGACAAAGGAGCCTCCGGCAAGGACTTGTAAAGCCAGGGCCTGATCGGGCCTGTAGGCTATGGGGTGCTCCGGGTGAGGTTTACAGGCTCGAGGTTCATTTAGATGGTTTGAAAAGGTCCTTCGCTGGGCGAGCAGGGCTTCCGCTCAACTGTCCACCCTCGACCCCAATCCGAACCCCGAAGCCCAGCGCGAAGGCGCGAAGACCCGCTGAGCGCGTTGCAGCAGGACTTTTTGTTCGGGGGCCTATGGCATATAA